TTGGTTGGAGGCCATTGCTATTATTTGGTTGGAGGCCATTGCTATTAGGTTGGAGGCCATTGTTATTATAAAGGTTTCTTTTGCAATTCGGTTTCCCAGGTCGGTCCCAAAAACATGACCGATCGACCCGTTGTGCCGTTGGGCCACTGGGTTGGGAGTCCTACGAGGCCAAAGACTGTTTGCTTCGGACGGGATCTCCTTTTCTTAGTTGAGCAGAAAGCTGTGGACGGCCGGGAAAGAGCACTTGCTACTTGCTTTGTTCTTTCATGTGGAAAATGTTTGTTCAGAGTCGGAAGAGCTTGAAACTGATCCATGATGGTAGGTGCGCAGGTGTGCAGGTCATTCGTTTCACTCTGCGAGTCTGGACTGTTTTCCTTTGTTTTCTCAGGCCGCCAAGTCAAATCTGGCGAGTCTGGAAACACTCAACATCACCCAACCCACAAACTGTCGAATCGAAAACTGACTGTCCGCCATCGAACCACATGGAGGGATGTCCACAAACAAACCATCCGTCGAGTGCGAGAAAGTCACCTTGCTGATCTTTGTTGTGTTTTTATACATCCACCTGCTGAGCGGTGCAGTCCATTCCAGGACAATCTCATGCTGTCGCAAGTACCTGCCATCTCACAGGAAGCAGAGTTGTCTCCTGTGCCTCTAGTGAGCTTGGACAAGAACAGCACTTCTTCATATCTCTTTTGCAACATCTCACCATCCCAGCACGAGACTCCACATGCGGCACCTGAACTTCTACCATCTCCAAAGTGGTTTTGGAGCGGGGCCCAAGAGCGCGGTGGCCGCACTTGGCGCGGCCACCGGGGGTTCACTGCGGCTCCAGCGGAGGCCTCCTCCGAAGATCTGAGCTCCGGGTCTGCGGGCGGCTCCAGCCTGGACTTTCAAACACCGCTGGACGAGCCCGGGCCCCCGGGCAGGACCCAAGACCAGAAGTGGATTGACCCGGAGAGAGTTGGAGCGCACGTTTGTGATCAGGAACCTTGTGAACCTATGTGAACGTAAACGCTTAGCTGGTAGACATGCCTTGAACGATGATGCCAAGGCCCCCAGGTAGAAAACAACCAGCTTACCTGTAGACAGGGGCCCGTGCCCAGTCAGTGCTGTGGCCTACTTTCCAGATTAGCTGAATGCGATTGAAAGGAGTTGGTTGATTTGTAGAGGGGACACCACCAAGTGAACCCCTCATTGATTGAACGGATTCTATTGGGAACCGAACGACTCAGACGCCAACAGATCCCCCAATCCGCCCAGGATCGCCCCCTTCGTCCGCAGCTTTGCCATGGCCACCGGTGCACCCATCAGCTCAGCGGACTGATTTTGAGGTCATCTCGGTTCGCAGTCAAGTACTGTAATCAATTGGCCAGAATGCAGAGACCATGCCCTTGAGATCACTGAAGCTTGTGGAAGCTATGTGTTTTTGGCAACGAGCTTTCATCGTTGGGTCCGCGCACCGTTGATTCGGTGCGGTGCGTGGGCGTTGATTCGGCCCCTATGCGGGAGCCCGCATCATGAGAGGTATTGATATCGGCGGCATGGATCTTGCCTTTCCAGAAAATGGCGAAGGCCTTCGTCGTGACGTTTTGGCCACGGTGACTGGGCTTGGTGTTTTCACCGTGACTGGTGGATTGGGGGTTCCAAGGAGCCGTCCCAAGCGGGTCAACAGAAAGTTCAGCTTTCCTACAGACCGAGGGGGCCAAAGTACTGCAATTTGACTGCTGTATCTTGCATAACATAAGGCACACCTTGAAGGGATTTGAGGCATCTCAACGCCACAAAAAGGACTCCTTCCCGTAAACCCTCGCCCAATACCAAAGCCTTCTATCGATTTGAACATGTTTGCATAAGGTCCTTGTTTGCTCATGTTTCAACTCATGTGTCAGGAATTTCTTTACACATCATGTGTGTTCGAAGCATTCCCAAGCTTCCGCACTAGTCTCATTCACTTATCACTCGTAATTTTTCCAGATGCTTCGGATGCCCAGCATCCAGGACCTGTGGTCTTCGAAGTGTCTCCAATCTTCGACTTGAATCCAGAGCCACCTCCTGAGTGGAGACAAAGGCCATATCGTGAGCTGCTTGGATGAAGAAGAGGTGCTGCATTCTTTTTGGGAGCAAGATCTCTATAGTGGAGACAATTGTCTTCCAAGGGCATGTTGTTTCGCTTCCAAAATTATTTCAGAGAGTGTATATCTAGCAGTGAACGCTGCGAACGCTGAAATAGGTGGCAACCTTCTTTTTTGTGGAGCCAGGGGTTGCGCTTTTTCTTTCCGCCAAGCCAATGCTGTGGGTTTTGACCCCCTAGTCTCAGGTACAAAGAGACTGAGGACTACAAGCAGAGGTGGGTTCTTGGGGATGTCGATGTTGTGAACAGAGTTTTTACACAGAGGTCTTTGGGCATCGGGCAGACACTGTTTCATGTGTAGGCTGCGCGGGGAAATCATCTCATAGTAGAGAATTGACCAGCAACCTCTCTTCTGCGCACGAGGCGTGCAGAGAACTATGCTCTATGTGCCCAGAAGGCCCGGGCGACGCGTCGCGTTCCCGTTCAGGCGACGCATGGACGATCCTTTTATGCAGCAGTAGACACGATACCTTGGGGCCCAACGTATGATGTCACACCGAAAGAGGAAGACAGCAAGCAGCTGTTGGTAAGCATGGAAAAATGGAGTATGGCTTGGCAGGTTCTGATTTGGCTTGGCAGGTCATTGAGTATGCACTTCACCGACGAGGTCATTTGTTTGTTGACATCGACAACACCATCAGCGATGCTTGGAAGCGCATTCAGCGGGTTGGGGTCTCAGCCACTGCTGCTTCAGAACTTCAGTACTTCACTGCACGCTTAACGGTTGAACGAAAGACAGACCAGCATAAGACTCGGTTTGGCCGGACGTCGTAAAGCTTTGGCAGGACGCGTGCAACCCTGCGTCGGATGTTGGATTTCCCGAATCATAAGAACGGTGCCAGTGTGTGCCCAGCACAACGCAGGTGACCTGCATCAAGATGTTCCCTACCCAGAGTCATGTTGGATGCTGATTAGTAATAGAGCCCTCTATAGCCCTCTATAATGCTGCTTAGTAGCAGGGGGGACCCCCTTCTACTAAGCAAAACACTAGGCTGTCCATTCCATGAGACTCTGAGACTCTGTTGATGTGGGGCGCCGAGGCCACGATCCCTGCGTGGCCGGGCTCCAGCTTCGGCGCGGAGGCGCATTCTCCAGAGGAGCACGAGAGCGATCGGATACTGTTGGGGAGCGACCCGGCGCACCTTCAGTCGTGGGAGGCACCAGATATTTCCGTCGGCCCAGATATGCGGTGGTTGGTTTGGGAGCGTGGTGCCGACTATTGCGGACCCCTAAAAGACTCCCAGATAAGTTAAGGCATAAGGTGTGCTTTCGAAGTCCTTGAAGGGGGGCTTTTCTGAGTGACAGCTGTGCACACGCGGAACACGTGTGCGAAGAGCCACGACCGAACGTAGACAGTGGTAGAGACAAGTGGAGACCAAGTGGATCTAGAGACAAGTGGTAGACTCGTAGACTTTGGTAGACTAGTAAACATGATTAGGAGAGACCAGTCTCAACTTTTAAAGGGCAAATCATAGGATAGTTGAGATGTCCATGAACTGGACAAGTTAAGGTCTCTCGAGGCCAAGCTTCTGACAAATATCCAATGGAAAAGATGGACAAGTAGAGAAGCCCAGCACCGCACATATCACTGATCTAGTACAACATATACAACACTTCACCATACGTCACACATCTCCACTCGACAAATCACCAAAGCCCAGATCAACACTATAGATGATTGCAACACTTCGCCACATGGCCTCTCACCACACATCACCCCAACAACTTCCTACTACATAAGTATAGTATAGTATAGTTATAAGTTATCATGTGCCTCTCTTCAACAAACCCGGAAGTGGAGAATCCTTGCTATTCGGAAGACCCCCTGCTGTGGGGCCAGGCCATCCACTTCCATGATTCTTCAAGGAATGTATCCACTTTTGGGTCCGACAAGACTCATTGGGGTGAAGAAATTCCTGGACTATGGAACACCAGTCCACGCCCACCCATGGGACGGACAGCCTGTCTCGTCACGACCACGTCGACCGTCACGTCGCGAGTCACGTCGCGAGTCACGTCGCGAGTCACGAGGAGTTGGCCAAAGATTCGCCTCTCCCAGGTGGGTCGCGACGTGACCGGTCGCGCGCGGTCCACGCGACACGAAAGGATTGACTGCAAAGAGTTGACTACAAAAGGATATTTGCTGACCTACGGCTGACCTACTAGTCAGGAAAGGTAGCTTCAGCTACCTGAGTTCTCCTTGCTTTAGCAGTTTAGCAAAAAAGTATTGCACTCTGGAGTTGGGATTATGCACTGCGTTTGGTCCTGTAAGAAGGGATTCTGTTTGACGGTCCCCCCACCTGGATCAAATCCTCATAAATCCCCCTCGCGCCGTCGCTGTTTGGGTCACAATCAAGGAGTGAACAGTGCTTTGAATGGCGTACTGCAAGACCAGCGATGATGCGGATGTGAAAGATTTGCTACCTTTCGTTCACCCCCTCCTATCTCAAGTGTGACCTTAGGGATTTCTAGCAGTAAGGTCATCCAAAACCGAAACAACCTCTGCCAAGGATCTGCTTGCGGATGTTTGAACACTGGGTTGAGAGCGGAGCCAACCTGTGATTATTTGGAAGAAATGGAAAGTCCAGGGATGACGAGCCGACTTGACGGCATTTTGCTGTTCCACCGATGCATCCGGCTGAATGGTTCTAGCCCGCCCAACAAGCCAGACTTCAAGGCCTCCTATCCATCCACCAAGAACAGGGGACGTAGACAAGTGCAGCTGACATTTTCGGCTTCCTGACACATCCCCACCGCGAGGTGCACAAAGTGCTTTGGCTTCCTTGACTCGCGACTGGAAAGTCACCTACCTGTCAGCTGGAGGGCCAAGCCTTGCGACGCAAGGAAGTTGTGGTTGGCAGCTTTCGAAGCAAAAAAGAGACAAAAAGAAAGTACGGCCCCCTTTAAGAAGAACGCTTTTAAAGGGGCCTTATTGCTGTACATGGGCCCGAGGCCCTTCTTTTTTCTCCAGGGGTTTTACTGTACAAGAGTTTAGAGAATAGCATATATATTATATATATATACATACATACACATTAGACGGTCTATATATCGTAGTTTTTGGCACCTTTGTGCCCCAAGAGGCTCTTGAGGCCATTCTTGGGTGCCTTTTGGAGCCCCGAAGGTTAATTTCCAGAATCCTGAGATAAGGCGGTAAGGTGTATGTATATCATGAGATATCATTGTTCACTTCAGCAGATTCCTCCTCCTGAACTTCTTGAGTTGCCGGATTGGGCCGATGTGGATGTGGCCATTGAACAAATCCGGGCAGATTTGCTGGGAGGAGCCGGGTATAGGTCTTCAGTGTCGGAATACGTAGCAAAGCAGGTGGGGCAGGGACATGATCTATAGTAGCAAGACAAGCTTATGCTTCATGATGCCGAGGTGAAACGCTTCACGATGCCGAGGTGAAACGCTTCCAATCTTCATACCCAAACCTGCCGTTTCTTCAGGGTATTGGACATGTTTGATGTCCATGTTAGTTTCGATGAAGATGTGTTCTTCTGCGAGGAATTGCGAGAAAGCCTTTGAGCTTGAATCGGTTGTGTTTTTACGGAGCCTGATTTTTTCCATTTCTTGTCCTTTTTCCTTTCTTCTTTTTCCTTCTCCTTTGCTTTCCTTGTTCCTTACCTGTTTCTTTTTCGCCTACCTGTTCCTTTCCTCTTACCTCATGCAGATTATATACTGAAATCATTCATTGAGCCTTCGCTTGCTCAGAGAGTCGGCTCCTGAATTGATAAGCCTCAGTATGATGCATGCCTGGGTTCAGACGATTGGAATGAGCAACTGGCTGGAGAATCTGGAGCGATTGGTTGGAATGATATCCCTTACCCTTATCCTTCAATCCATATTCTTTTTGCTTTTACTTTTCACTTTCCTTTTCCTTCTTTCCTTTCCTTTTCTTGTTGATAATGAGCCTGATCTTTTTGCTCTTCCTGTCCATTTTCCTTTTGCTGTTTGTTTTTCTTGTTCTCTTTCCTTTCTTCTTTGTCTTATCCCTCTGCCTGCCTTTTTCGTAAGGAGACCCCAGCCAATTGGTCGACTGGTCCATGTTCACGGGGTCCAACTGGGAGGTCCAGTCTCCCCTTCCATCGGTGCTTCCTTTTCAAGGCACGTGGAGCGGCGGGTGCCTTTGAAGCGACATGCGGATGGCTGAAGAAGCATGGTTTTCCCAATCATGGGCGACTGGTGCTGGTCAGGGCCCTGTGGGTTTGTTGGACAAATTGTTCATGGACATTGATGGAAACTTTTGGATTTGGAGAATCAGTCTGGAACAACAGAGAACAAGATGTGAGGGACCTCGGGTTACACCCGTGGACAGTCTGTGTCATAGAGGGTTCTCTTGCAGGGAAATCAACTTTTAAGGGTGCTGTTGATGTAGATGGGAGGGGAATGGATGGGATATTTCCAAGTTCGCTGCTCGCCTTTTGGGCGGTTTGTGTTTGACCCAGGTCTCGACTCCCATCGAGAAGCTCGCTTACCTGCAGGACGACCATGGGACGACGGGACTGGTTTCAGGACCATGTCCGGTCAGCAAGTGCAGTTGCAGCAGTTGACGCCAATCCTTTGCTTCAATGGGCTCGAAGCAGAGGGCGAAGCAAGAAGTATTGGCAAACTTCCACGAGTTGCTCTGTCAGGCCACACTGGATTCTGACAGACTGGGCGCACGTAAGACTTGGTCATATCATCATATCGACACGTTCTGAAAGAACACACCAAGAACCACACGGTCTCTGCATTTGGGGTTTCTTTTGAGGCTAAACTCAACTTGAGAAAAAACTCAGATTTCCGGTTGAAGCCTCGAAACTGAGACTGTCATGAGGCAAGCTTGAATCTCTCTTCAGATTGTCTTCAGAAGGTCTTCGTTCAGCGCGTTCAGACTCTCCAACTCCTGAAGGGGACCGCATAGATCCTACATACCATTACTTACAGATCACTGCTCCATGGAGTCTGCAACGCCGATGTTGGCCTCAGTGCTGCTGCGGGTGGCACCGCAGCGTTGCCAGCACGGCAAAGGACGATTGGGGCCCACATGAAAAGCCCACAGAGACCAATGATGTCCAACGCACTCTTTCCACAGGATATTTTTTTCTGGTACCTATTCCTTTGCGGACCACACATAGTGTGCAAGGTGACATGGGGCCCACATGTTTCCTTGGTGGGGCGAGGTGTCCTTGCAAGGACAAACAGCACCGAACATGGGGCACGGGACTTTGCAGCTGTTTTCCTTGGGCGTTCATGGGGCCTTGGAGATGGATTTGTGGCGGTTTGAGGATTTGTGATGGATTTCATCACCAAAAGCAGCTGGATAGACCCATTGTCGCTCCACAAAAGCCAATGTGGTCCGAGAGCTGATGCAGGATTCAACATTTCACCCAGGGTGTCCATGAGTCCCTATAGGACACGTCAGAACAAATCCATTCACCTTCTTGGGCGATCGACGGTCAGGAATCAATCGTCCAAAGACAGGGAAGAAGGTTAGTTCACCGATGTGGCTGGTGCCTTGGACATACAGGCAAGTAGGGTTGTGCTGACCAGGGTAGGACCGGTGTACACCAGAACACACCGAGCACCGTGCGCTGCCCGGTGTACACCAAGAGGTGTCGTTCCTGTTCCGTGCCTGTGCCGTGCCCTTGCATTGGCCGGGGCATGTGGTCCATAAGTCCTTCCTAAGGCTTGCCGCAACTCTTGGAGTTCTACGGCGGCTTGGGCATGCGGAGCATGCCGGGGCACTCGCCAGTGGAGCTGAGGATTCCTGGTGAGTCGCAGAGTTGCAGCTTGAAATTTCTGCCAGATGAGCAGGTGCCGTGGGAAGAACGACGTGAGACACACAATCGGTCCACTTGGAACCCATTTTGGCAGTGGGTGACCTCCTGGAAAAAGTGCTCTCACCAGTGACCAGGCTGGTTCCTGGTCAATCAGGGTCACCCGGTGCCATGGCCCACAGGCATTTAACATCATTTGTTTTGGAGTTTGCTTGATCCTAGATCCCTTTTTGAGGCGTTGAGAGGAGAACCCTTTTGAGGTCCAAGTGCAAACCGACGGGACGTCGTCGTCGCACAGTCCGGTCCGATGAAACGTTCGGGTGGCCTTGGATTCGCCGGTTTGGTTGAGCCAGTGGAGCCAACTCGCTTGCGACTCGACGTTTGTACAACACATTGGACATGACATGTGCTGATAACATAGCTATTCATGCACGTAACGTAATGATGTAATGTTTATAAATCAATCCGAATCCAATTAGTCCCAGTGTACTGAAGAGGTTGCACCATGCTGCGTCTTCAGTAGAACGGCAGTACAAAAGCTTTGCGGTTTCCTGTGCAGGTCAAGGTGGGCTACTCCCACAAAGGGAATGACTTGTACTGGAAGATTGGCCTTGCGATTGATGACGTTGACGCAGCGAGCAAGTGCCTAGGATGTTCCCCTGGATCGCAATTTCTGGATATTGGTTTTCTAACCCATTTGGCTGATCCTGCTGGTCCCTTGGCAAAACTTCGCGTTTCTTTTTTTATTGGGTCAGGTTCCGTTGGTACACCTTGCTTTGGAATGTGTTTTTTTGCATTATCTTCTTCCTTTTACATTTGCTTGGACCGTTTTTGGATCTCTTAAAGTTATTGGTGCGAAGGCTTTTGCATTGAGCTCCTGCAAACAACCTTCGAAGCTTCCTCGGCCCAACGCGCTCGGAGGCTGGCAGACCGCGCCGCTTCCGCGGCCGCGACCTCGCGGCTGGGGCAGTTCGTGATCGGTCAGATTACCACGCGCATCACTGAGCCAACACAAAGCCTGGACTTCTACCAGAAGGTGTTGGGAATGAAGCTCTTGTCGATTCAACCGGTGAAGCGCTACAACTTCACACTCTATTTCCTGGCCTACACGGAGGAGACTCCACCCAACGCGGATTTGGAGGCCGTGGAGAACCGGGAATGGCTTTGGCAACGGCCCTACACCACACTCGAGCTGCAGCACCGCTGGGGGAGTGAACCTGGGTCATTGCGCCCAGCGAAGCTCAGCTGATGAAGGATGGTCATACGTCATACGCGCCCATGAAGAAGAAAAGACTATCCTGTAGGAAGAGGGGGGTGCAGTAGGGTGCAGTTCTCAAAATTGAAAGGGCGGATCCGCTCCACCCACAGCTTATACATGCCTATATAATGTTTTGATCCATTTTGATCCCCACTGTGTGAACATCTTCATCTCAATGTTTTCAGAAACATGCTGGATTTATTCTGCACTGCGCTCCCTGGAACAACCATGGAAGCGGAAAACGGTCCCTTGGAATCCCTTGCATAACAATTTCCGGGTGGTGCCATCCACTTCTATGATTGTGTTACACTCCCTCGTGTCTTAAATCTGGGCTTTCGCACTTGTCCAGATTTGATCCAAGCACTTGGCTCCACACAGCGCTTCGAGTTTCACAAGAGCCCTCAACAAGAGCCCTCCTCGGGCCATATAAATGTACATGTATACATATATATATATATATATATATAACTGCTGCTTAACTGTCACTGTGTGTATAAATATACGTGCACCCTCCAACTTCTTCGTCTGACCATTCCATGACGACAGCGACTCCTGACAAATGCGCAACATACCGGTATTAAGTTTCCATAAAACACTAGGAACCGTGCGAGCGCTTCTTCAAGGAAGGTGGCGGGCAGCTTCCTTGAAGAAGCGTGAGCTATCCTGCGTCCACGTGTAGTAGCTTACTTGTAGGTACTAGCGACTCCCTTGCTTCTACTAGCTACCTACCTCTAGCTACTCCCTACTCCCTACCTCAGTTGTGGCCTACCCCCCCCCCGGTCTAAAATAGAAGAACAATAAGTGCACCCAACTCCCAGCCCCGTGAGCTCAGGCCTCCGGAGGAGGAGGGCTTGGTCTCGATCCAAGTCTTGTGGCCAAAGGAGCAGCTCAGCCGTTTGCCGCTCAATCCCAAGGGCCGGCTGAGGGATCCCGATGGCTTGGAGATCGAGGTGCTTGCGGTCTAGCGGTCTAGCTGGCCACGGTGGCGGTCGCGCCATGGGGAGTTCGGTGGCCGATGGTCCAGTTCGGATCAGAGGCCCCCGTTCGGATGCGCAGAAAGGAGTGTCGTGGGCAGGTTTGGCCCCAAGGATCGTCACAGCACAGGAGACCAACACAAGGCCCCCGCGGAGACCGGCGGCGGACGCTGAGGCTTCGACGCCGTCCTGGACGGAGACCAGCGCCTGGCGAGGGCGCAAAAAGGGCGCGCGTTCCGAACGCTCCCCGCGGGTGTCGGGGGCTTCGGCTCGGTTCGGTGCGGTTCGGCTTTTTAGAGGGACTTGGCTGATGCGGCCCGGGATGAAATTGGGAGTGGAGCACAAAGGGAGCGAAACATGATAGAAGCCTTCAAAACAACCATCCTACCATTATTCTTGTGCAGATGCGCTTCCTTCAGTGGTGGCAGCTCTTTGCCATATCGTTCACAAGTCCACTTTCACCGATGTGTTCTCTTCAGCGGTGAAGGGCTCCCGCTACTTTCACTTGGCCTTGACCTACTCAGGTGTAGCCATGAACTTTGAAAAAGGATCTGGACCGACCGGCGTCATCGTGTAATCCTTTCCCCAGCCGGGAGGATGCGAGAAGCTCTGGTCGACCCGTCCTGCTGGCCGGGAACTCACCAGGTGAGAAAGTCTTGAGGTCTCAACAGGTGATCCGTTCAGAGATTTTGTTGTGATTTTGAGGCCACACACACAGATTTCTGGCCATACCTCTGTTGTATAGGCCTTTTAAGGACAAACAACTCAAGACTTGCTCAAGGAGATGGATAAGAGTATGGAACATTTCAACAACATGACAGTTTTTCGGATTTTTGTTCTTTTTGTTGGACAAGAATCAAGAGATATGCAAACGTATTTTGCCCGCGAAGCCCATGTCAGATGCTGAGGTAGATGATCTTACCCGAGGAGAGGGCGGTGGGGAGTGAGAGGTGACAGTGAGCCAGAGTGAGCCGATCGGAAGGGATGGGAAAGGGTGGGTTAATACATCATTGAGACATCGTTGTTTGTGGGGTCATTTTCGTTATGACAAGAGGCCAAGGCTCGGACAGAATTCTGGATTCTTGTCGTCATTCTGGCAAATACACCAAGACTCCTAGTCATCAGAATGAATACCTTGCATAGGTCCTTTGAGTCCCTCGAAGCCTTTCTAAAAGAAGTTCCTCCGATCCATTTCCATCACTTCCGCATCAGCTCAACGGGTTTCGCTCAGCTCTCTCAATCGGCTCAGTTCCGCATTCAGTTCTGCTGTCCGTGCACGCCACGGAGGCATTCCAACCTACTAGCGGCGATGGCCTCCAACCTAAGAGCGATGGCCTCCAACCTAAGAGCGATGGCCTCCAACCTACTAGCGATGGCCTCC